TGGAACAACAACCTTCCTCCTCCACCTTGTTTTCCTTCAGAGCTCAATGCCATCTCCTACTCAAAGCCTTTCCTGATCCCCCCAAGCTGCCACTTCCTCCTCCTCAAATTATCTTGAATTTATTTTATTTACTTATATAATAATTTATATTATATAATTATATTATACATACTTATGTAATAATTTATATATTATTTATATGTGTACATGGTGTCCCCCTATATAGAATGCAAGTTCCTTGAGTGCAGAAGTGGTTTCATTTTTGTCCTTGTTTTCCTAGCACTTGGTAGGTACTAAACAGATGCTTCTTAATTGATTAACCCTCTTCCCCTCCCATTTTCCTTCCATCCCCTCTCTAGTTTGTCCGTCATTTCCCTATCTAGTAGCTCCTTTGCGAAACCCTCACTCCATGTAATGTAAACACAGGAAGCCCAGACTCTTTGACCGAACCAATGAAGGATATAAATTAGATGTAAACAGATGTTTAATTTGGTAAGTTGGATAAGGACAGACAAGGGAAATATTTTGTGGTTGAAGAAAATCATTTGCTCCCAGTGGGGCAGTGGATATAACAACATGGTGGACCAGGAGTCAACCCCTAGTGATGCCATGATGAAGGACTCCTAGCAGTTGGGGGAACCATGAGCTTTCTGTCTCCTCCCCTTCCCCATTGACCAGGTGATAACCTTGTAAACTTCCAAAGATTGGAAGATCTGGAGTTCCCCCAGAGCTAGAAGCGGTGTCCCTAAGCAATAGAGGCTGGCAGCGTCCTTCAAAGCCAAGAGACACGTGGAGGACAAACCACATGCACTAAGGAAGGGCATCTCCAGGAGTCTACAAGGCCACTGAACAGAGAGCTACATCTCAGGAGGAACTGTGTGAGACTTTCAAGGAGGAGGAAGGAGAAAGAACTTCTAACAACCAGGAGCTGTGAGTTTGCTCTTTGGCCACATGTATGTCTAAGCATGAGCCCACTCTCCCCAGGAACCTTGTGTGTGCAAGGGAAGAGTATGAATCTTTTTTTTTTCTTTTTGGTGAGGCAGTCAGGGTTAAGTGACTTGCCCAAAGTCATACAGCTCATAAGTGTTAAGTGTCTGAACTCAGGTCCTCCTGCCTCCAAGGCCAGAGCCCTGTTCACTTCACCACCTAGTATGAATCTTAAGGTGATGTTTCTGTAACAGCTACCATTGCTGGAGCTACTTAGTATATACCCTTTCAAAAATCGAGTGAAGTCTGGCTGATAATCAGTGGGAAGCACACCAGAATAGGGGCTGATAAGCAACAGCACTAGAGATCTCAGCCCCTTAAGGTTACCCCTGGAAACCTGAGGGAAGAAGTAGCGGCCACCCAATCCATGTATAAGTCAGGATAGTGAACCCAGAAGGAAACACAAACATCCCCCAGTCCTCCCCATCCTTTAAAAAAAATACCTTAAATTGACCCTACAATTCCTGCAAGTGCCCTTTATTTGTCATTCTATATCTCTCGTCCCTTTCTCAGCCAAGCTCCTAGAAAAAGCTGTCTATTCTTGCCTTATTTCCTCTCCTAGCTTCTAACCTCACCACTCAACTGAAACTGCTCTCTCCAAAATGATCGACATTTTAAAAATTGCCAGATCTGGTGGAACGTTCGTCCTTCTTGATCTCTCTGCAGTACTTGACGCTGCCAACAACTTGGGGTTGTTACGCTGCTCTGCCCTGTCAAACGGCTACACTTCAGTCTCCTTTGCAGGATTTTCTTCTTTCTCCTATCCCCATGCATTGGTGTACCCTCTTCTCTTCTCTCTCGCCCCTTTCTCTGGTGATCTGATCTGTTCTCGTGGATTCACTCGTCATCTCTTTGCTGGTGACTCCCAGATCTGTCCGTCCCTCATCTCTAATTTGACATGTCCCAAACTGAATCCCCTTTTTTCTCAAAACCCTTGGTTCTTCATAACTTCTTTATTCCTGTACAGACCACCACCATCAAGGTGAAGAGATAGGATATTTTAGGGTTGTTCAACAGTAGAAAGTCACAGGTTGGTCTGCATCATATTTAACACCCTATGAATTCTTTTTTTTTTTTTTGTGAGGCAGAAGGGTGAAGTGACTTGCCCAGGTCACACAGCTGGTACGTGTCAAATGCCTGAGGATGAATTTGAATTTGAACTCGGGTCCTCCTGACTCCAGGGCCGGTGCTCTATCCACTGTGCCATCTAGCTGCTCCCAACCCTAAGAATTCTTAGAGATAGATCCCAGAGCCGATCAATGCCAATATATTTTTACAGTCACTATAAAGACAGTCCAACCCATTCTTCTTTTTCCCAACTCTAAACCCAACTCACTGCCCACCTCTATTGTCTATGGCAGACATATACACTGACAGAATTCCTGTAAATTATCCACCTGAATATACGCTGTAATCTTACAATACACATTTATTGGGGCAGCTAGGTGGCTCAATGGATAGAGCACTGGCCTTGGAGTCAGGAGGACTTGAGTTCAAATCCAGCCTCAGACACTTGACACCAGCTGAGTGACCTTGGGCAAGTCACTTTACCCTGTTGCCTACACCCAAAACAAACCCAAAAGAACCGATGGACATTCATCATCATCCAGTTGGTCTGTCACGGATAGATTGTTGGCCCAAACTCTTTTGAATGATCCCAGATCTCTTCTAGCAGATTCTGTAATGTTCTAGGACTTGATGCAATCAGTAAAATGGATAGTGGCCAGACCCGGAGTCAGGAAGACCTGACTTCAAACACAGCCTCTAGCTGTGTGACCCTGGGCAAGTCACTTAACCTTTGTTTGCCTCAGTTTCTGCAACTGTAAAATGGGAGTACTAAGAGCATCTACCTCCCAGTGTTGTTGTGAGGATTAAATGAGATAGTAATTATAAAGTACTTGGTCAGGATAGTACATGGCGTATAGTAGGTGCTTAGTAAGTGCTTATTCTCTCTTCTGGTAGTTAACCCTGAATGACTTTGCTGTGAGAATGAGAGACACCAGGGTCAGCTAGGTAGCTCAGCAGACAGAGCACCGGCTCTGAAGTCAGGACTGGACCTGAGTTCAAATCCGGCCTCAGACCAAACACTTGACACTCACTAGCTGTGTGACCCTGGGCAAGTCACTTAACCCCAATTGCCTGAAAAAAAAAAAAGAATGAGACTGTTGTAAATGAGCTTGGAAGGTTTCATTTTGCTCAGCAGCATCAAAAAAAATTTTTTTTTAAAGAACAAACACAAAACATAATGGGATCTTATAATCTCTCCTTCTTCCCATTAATTATGAAATGTGAAGTTGTGGTCTGTTGTTGAGGATTAGTTCATGAAAGCCTCCTTGTACACTGCTAATGCCCTCAATTCACATGTAAATACCCTTTCTGAACATTTTTGAGAGATGAGTAGGCATTAGGTTGGTAATTCCTAGTGTTTCCCCAATTGCTTTCCCCCCCAACATTCCCGAAGTCTGAGACTTTCCCCATGTCTTTGTTATCTCCCCCACGGCTGCCCTTCAGACATATGGTACGCCTGCCCCTCTCTGCACGCTCACACGCGTCACCTCCAGCACTGATCTCTTGCCTGCCCACGGCCCAATGTGGCTGCTCTTCCCATTTTTGTTCTCATCGGTGCTAATCTTGTCTCCTCTCTACGTACACCTGGGACTGTGATGCTAAGGTCCAGATAGACTGGTTCCCCTCAGCTTTCTTCATCAAGGATACTTCACAAACCTTCCATTTCTCTTCTGTTTTGATCTTCTCTTTCCATTTGCAGCCTTACATGCCCTTGGGATAACTTTGTTCAGTTGGGTATCTCCCCAAGTTTTCTTGAGGCTGACTGGATTCTCCAGTTTCTCCTTTCTTTAGGAGACAGAGCTCAGAATCATTCAGCAGCCTTCTTCATAAGATTCAGCAATTTTCCATCCCCAGCCCAGCCGCCATATTGATATCCCTAAAACATACCTCACCATGACACTCACTTGTTCAAGAATCTCCTTTGCTCTCAATGGCATCTATGCAAACTCCTCTGTTTGGCATTTCCAGCCCTTCCCAGACTGGCTTTAGCCTACTTTCCCAGACTTATTTAATATCCTTGGGTGGCCAAACTGGCCTGATTACTATTCTTCAAACATTATGCTGTCTCTCACCTCCGTGCCTTTGCCTCAAATGCCCTCCCTCCTTGAGTCCTCCTAGAATACCCAGGCTTTTTTTTTTTCAGTTCTTGTGCCAGCCAGTTCCGACTCACCATCCTTCCTGATCTTAGCTGCTGGAACCTCTCCTGGGAAATAACTTTTTATTTACTTAACCTTGTCCATATTGTTTCCTTTCCCCTGGATAGAATGTAATCTCTTTCAGGGAGGAGTGATTTCATTTTTTACTTTGTACCTACTCTAGCATCAAGCACAGTGTCTGGCATAACCTGAGATCCTTAATAAATGCTCATTGAGTGAATGAATGATTACATCACCCTGGGAGGAAAGGAGAGAAGGGAGGTTGGAACAAGGGGAGGGGATAGAGGGTGGAGGGGAGGAGAAGGGAGGGGCTGGAAGGGAAGGAAAGGCAACTGGATGGTAGAGTGGAGAGGCCTCTAGACTCAGAGGCAGGACATTGTTGGCCCTGAACCAGCCGCTTCAAGTCTCCTTATCTGTAAAATGGGGACAATTATTTCCATAGCACCTAATTCTCAGAGCTGTTGTGAGACTCAAACTAGATATATGAAGCACTATATAAAAGAAAAAAGAGGGGGACGGAGGGAAGAAAGGGAGGGAGGGAGAGGGGAAGGAAGAAGGAAGGGAAGGGAGAGAAGGAGAGAGGAAAGGGAAAGCAGGAAGAATGGGGAGAGAGGGAGAGGAGAGAGGGAAAAAGGAAGGGGAGGGAGGGAAGAAGGAAGAAGGCAGGGGAAGGGAAAGAAGGAAGGGAGATTATAGCTCTAACAATATAAACTAAATAACTACATAAAGGTGAGCTACTACTCATGGTCTACAGAAGTTTGCCATCCCAAAGAGAATCCAAGGCCCAGAGACAAATTCACACATCTTTATTGGAAAGGGAAAGGGAGGCAAGGGGTTCTGACCCCACTCTTAAAAGTCCAGGCCCAGCCCTGCTCCCTCCCTCCAGCCCTCCTGCACCTCTTCCTAGGTGAGCAGTGAGCAGGGGAAGAGGTACCAGGACCCTTTGTCCCCCTATGCCAGTGGGTTGGAGACAGGGCAGTACCCCTCAGAAAGGGCCTAGGCACAGGCAGACATTTCCTTAGACAAAATCAATGGGCCTGGGCCAATGGGCAAAGGCCTTATGCTGTCCATAACGGGATAGGGCTGGGTAGCCTAGGTGTGGGGTAGATTTTCTCAGCAGACCACACAATGCCTTACACAGGAGTAGGCACTTTAAAAAATGTTGAGTTGACTTGACAGGGCAATGGGAGAAGGCTCAGATGCCGGTCCTGAGTGGGGTGATAATCCTGGACTGGGGAGAAAAAGCTCCCTGCACTTTACAGATGACATGGCTAAGGTGGGGCAGGGTGCTCATTGTCTTGGGCTAAGGGCAGGATGAGCTATTACTCTAGGCCAAGGGGGGAGGACTTGGTAGCCTGTGCTAGCAAAGAGTCTGATCCAATCAGGTCCCGGCTTGGACCTTCTGGACATGACATGCCTGTTTGGCAGCTTCTCCACCACAGAGTGACTTAGAAGAGGTGAGGAAGCCCAGGGCAGTCCAGGTAGGAGCTGTTTAGGGCTGTTGCTGGGGACAACATCCGTTCTAGGGCAGCCTCATATCCAGAGCTTTGGACTCCCCTGAGGTCTCCACCAAGTGACCATAGGGCATATGAGCCCCACCATCCGCAGAGTCTGGGAGAAGAGGAGGAGCCATCACTCCCTGGGGAGAGTTGGGAGCTCCTCCATCACCCCAGTCCTGAGTGCTATGTGGCCTCAGGGCCTGGGGGGAGGAGGCCGCCCACCCCAAAGGCCCCCTCCCGGTACTGGTTGGGAAACATATTGCTGCCCACCAGGCTTGCGGTGCCCTCGTAGCCTGAGGCAGGGTACGAGTCCAGGGTTAGCAGCTCTGGGCTGTGGGGTTCTGGGGGGGCACCCCCATCCGCACTGCCCCCCACACCAGGCCCAGAGAACAGGTCCAACATAGTGAAGAGAGGTGAAGACTGCTCATAGGGAAAGCCATAGTCATCCATGGAATCAGGCCCACCAGGGGGCTCCAGGCCAGGCAGCGTCACAGGTGGCAAGAAATCCGGCTCAGGCATCAAAGAGGCTGCTGGGAGGAAAGGAAGAGCTGCCGAGTGACAGGGGGGAGGAAGGAGAGTTAGCTGAGGGAAGGCAGGCAGGCAAGGAGAGCCTGCCAGACAATCCCCTAAGCCACTGAGGAGTGATGGAAAGAAACAATCTTTTTAAAATCAGCAAAGCCCCCTCTCAATGGGGATGAGCCAAAATCTGATAGTTCTAAAATTAACCCTCCCAGTGTTTTGCACAACTGCACGTATACAAGCTATATTGAGTTGCTTGCCTTTTCAATGGGGGTGGGTGGGGAGGGAGGAAGAGAGAAAATTTGAAACCTAAAGTTTTAAAAACATATGTTTTTAAAAAAGTTTTGCATGCTACTGGGAAATAAGAAATACAGGAAATGGGGTACAGAAGTCTATCCTGCCCTATAGGAAAATAGAAGGGGAAGGGGATAAGAGAAGGGGGGAGAGATAGAAGAGAGGACAGACTAGGGGAAGGGATATTCAGCATGCATGCCATCTTGGGGTGGGGGAAGGGGGGAAATTTGGAGTTCAAAAACTTGTGGGAGTGAATGTTGAAAACTAAAAATAAATAAATTTATATAAAAAAATAATAAAATTAAATTAAATTAACCCTCCCAGCATATCCCAGCAGATCACAGAAAAAAGCCCCAAATTCTTCCCCACAAAACGAATTTAAAAAGCAGCTAATGGGATCATCAAATTGTTTTGTTTTAAGTCAGGATCTGAGGCTATCTCCTCTTAGCCAAGAAATTCTCTCTCTCAAAGCAGGCTAAGTCCCTCAGGATCTGAGGCTAAAGACTCTAAGCTCCCTGAGGGCAGGACTGGCTCGGCCTTTCTTGGAATCCCCAGTAGCATAGCCAAGGCTTTTAATCAGTGCTTGCTGACTAGACTGAGGGGGAGTCCAGCCTACCTTATTTAGGTCATTACTTACTATCTTGGTTTCAAAAAGTTGCTGGTTTTTTTTTTAAAGGAGAAGCCAAAAGAGCCTCCCATTTTCTGGAAAGATACATCTCAAAAAAGTGTTTCTGGGGGCATCTAGGTGGCACAATGGATACAGCACTGGTCCTGGAGTCAGGAGGACCTGGGTTCAAATTCGGACTCAGACACTTTCTACCTATGTGACCCTGGGCAAGTCACTTAACCCCCACTGAAAAAAAAAAGGTGTTTCTGGATCCTCATGACTACAGTTGTTATAGGATGCAATCATACAGCATACTATTAAAGAGATTATAACCTATTATTCCAGATGGGGAGACTGATATCATAATAAAGGATATGTTATCATATATAATCATATTGATCACATCATATAGTATAGATAAGGATCAGAGATCACATCATAATATGTGATATACCACTATATCATATAGTATAATCATACTGATTAAATAGATGGAGATTGTTGATTTTATCATGATTATAACATCATATCATACATCATAATCACATCAATTATATCACATATTATAGCTGAGGATTATTGATTATATCATGATTGTGTCATAATATGTTCTATGCCTGCATATCACATATCATAATCATGTTGATTAGATCATAATATATGCTATATTAAATCATAACCATACAATATAGATGATTGACTATTGTATTATGATTATAATATGTGATATATCACCGTATCAAATCATATTGACAATATTATGGATGAGTATTGATTATATGATTATATCATGTTACATCATATTAGCATTATTATATCAATCATGTTGAGGATTGATTAATTATGCTTATAATACTTATGTCACTATATAACATCATAATAATATTGACTACCATATATTATAGATTATATCATAATATATGTCATAATTATAGCAATCACGTTGATTATGTCCTATTATAGATGAGGATTGATTATGATTATAATAATATATGATATCACTGTATAACATCATAATATTGACTACCATGTATTATAGATTATATCACAATATATGTCATTATTATAGCAATCACGTTGATTATGTCCTATTATAGATGAGGACTGATTAATTATGCTTATAATGCCTGTCACTACATCAGATCATAATCATGTTGACTATAACATATTATAGATTGCACCATAATATATCATTATTATATCAAATGCTATAAATGAAAATTACTGATTATATCATGACGGTTGGAAATAGAAATAATATTGCTCCATCTCATATTGCCTATAGGGCAGCTAAGCAAAGCGCAGAGGGCAGGACCAGCATCAAGGAGACATGAATTTGAATCCTGCCCCAGACATGATTGAAGTGACTTTGAGAGAGCCCACTGACCTCTCTGTTTCTCCATCTGGAAAATAAGAGTTAATATGGGGCAGCTAGGTGGTGCAGTGGATAGAGCACCAGCCCTGGAGTCAGGAGGACCTGAGTTCAAATCCAGCCTCAGACACATAATACTTCCTAGCTGTGTGACTCTGGGCAAGTCACTTGACCCCAACTGCCTCACTAAAAAAAAAAAAGAAAAAGAAAAAAAAGACAAAAAAAGAAAATAAGAGTTAATAAGAACAGTACCTCCCTCATAGGATTGTTGTGAAGATCAAATGGGAAAACGTGTAAAAAGTGCTACCTACATGCATGCTATCACTAGTCACGTTATTACAGATTCAGCTGGATAGGGAGCTGGCCCTAGAGTCAAGAAGACCTGGGTTCAAGTCCTGCCCTACAGTCTTCCCCAGGGGAGCTGCTTGTCCCTCACTCCCCCCTTCCCCACAGTGTTACAGATCTACAGATGAGCTGCCATCTGCATTGGAGGAGAGAGTTTCCACACCAGAAGTTCCTCATAAGAATGATTACAGATTTGTGCCCAGAACTTCTAATATCGAGATATATCATACATGCTACATTGATTTATGATATGTTCCCATGTTACCGATTTGATATTGGACATATACTATATCTATAAGAAGAGGATAGAAGGGGTAGCATGAGGTAGTGGCATGAGCCCAGGGTCTGGGTTCAAATCCCCCCTTTGCTACTTATTACCTCTGTGACCTTGAAGAAGGCCCTTCCCTTCTCTTGGCCTCAGTTTCCTCATCTGTAAAATGAGGGAGCTGGATGACCTCAAAGGCCCTTTGCTGAAGCTTAGAAGACGGTATTCGTCTCTGACCCAAACCGCTAAGCAGGGTAATATCACTATACCAGTATTAGCAACTAGATGGCACAGTGGAGAGCACTGTGGGCCTGGAGTCAGGAAGACCTGATTTCAAATGCAGCCCGGGAAACGTGTTGCTGGTGACCCTGGGTAAGTCACTGAATCTCTGTCTGGGTCAGTGTCCTCATCTATAAAATGGGGACAATAAGAGCACCTACAAGGCTGTTGTGAGGGTCAAATGAGAGAATATTTGCAAAGTTGAAACAAACATTAAAGTTCTATGGAAGCCCTGGGCATCATTATTAGCATTAGATCCCTCTAGGAAACTGCCGAGTTTGCAGGATGGCTCCCAGCTTTCCCCTGAAAGAAATCCCCACCTTTTGTAACACTGACACTCTTCTAGGGAGGGCACACGGCTGTGAGGGAAGAAACTCATGGGGCCGAAGGGCCACAGAGGGGCCCATGGACAGGCCTGAGGGCCCAGGGATGGGGAACCATCATAAAGGAGGCTGATGGAAAGATATGTCAAGAAAAAATACCGAGTCAGGTACCAAGGAAGAGAAAGGGGTGATGGTCCATGCGCTCCACTGGGGTCTACACAAAGTCAACACAATGAGAGGAAGCTCCCGTCCTGTGGTGGACAGACCCTCGTGGCGGACAAGAGTGGTCTGAGCTCAGCACTGCTGGTCAGATTGCCCACAGCCATGGGATTCCAGGCCCCACTGGAGAAGGCAAAGGAATCCAAGGTCAATGACAAATTCCTTTTGTTTGGCATTTAAGGCCTTTCCCAATATGGCTCCCTTCCTCCCTCTTCAACCTTTCACATTCAGACACTTCACACACTAGATGTTCCGATCAGATGGGCTCACTTGCCATCCCTTACACTAAGTCAAGTCAAACCAGCATTTATTAAGCACTTACTGTGTGCCTAGAACTGTACTAAGCATTGGGGATATAAAAAAGGCAGTAAACAGTCCCTGCCCTCAGAGAGCTTATATTCCAAAGGGTGAAGACAACATACAAAGAACTATTCTCCAAAAACCTCTCTGCTCTTTTATCACAAATTCTTAAATGGAGCGATCCCTTCTTACCAAGTTAGACTGGTAACTAGGGTGGGTGGCTGGTGTTTTGCCACAAAAGCTTGAAATGTACAGGGCAATAAGTCAAATTAGCATTAAATTAATTAATTTCTATATATTATGTTTTTATATAATGCATATTATATATATATATATTTGTATACAATATACATTATATTACAATTTAATTTAATTAGCATTAAAATTGGAAACCTGAAGGTAGAGAGTCCCCTTCCTGATCTGTAGGGAGGGCCCCAGGGGAGCAACAAACCAGATACAGACAGAAGAAAATGGAGGCCAGCAGCAGAGGGAAAGTACCAGCATTGAGGGGAACCAGCAAAAGCTTCTTGCAGGAGGTGGCATTTTAGCTGAGACCAGAAGGAAGCATTCCAGGCGTGGGGACGGCTAGTGGAAAAACTTGCTGACCTGCCACCAGACAGTCCTCCTCCATCTCTGTGCCTTTCCCCACACCTGCAAAATTCTCTCTACCTCCTAGAAGCCCAACTTTCCCGCCCAAGAGCCACCTTTGGTAGGAAGGCTTTCCTGAGCCCCTCCGGCTACATTCCCTTTATTTCATTTGTATCACTGAGGACATACTGTTTCCCCTTAGAACGGAAACTCCTCGAAGGTAGCCGATTCACTGTTGTTCTTTGTATCTATAGTGTCTGACACACAGTATAAATATATGAATGGAAGAAATAGTTACTAAGTGTCTGCTGGGTGTCCTAATAGGTGCTAAATAAACAGGTGTTGATTGGCCTGTCAAATGACTGGTATTTCTTCGTGAACCCAGATCACTGCCCTTCTGCCCGTGGCAGCCTTGAAGAAAACTCTGGTTGAAAAAT